CCTTATAGTGATTTTAGACGGTAGATTCACTCAGAAACAAAGGGAAATTAATTCGTTGCCGATAGCACCAGCTGATAGCAGTAACATACAGAGTCTGATTAAAAAATTTCATGGCAATTGAAGATTTTTTACCACTGTACAATGGAGTCCAAAAGAGCACTTGGCACAAATGTAAAACTGCCCAGTGCAAGGCCAAGAATTCAATCAGTATTTTCAATCATATTATCAGATTCTACATAAATTGACTGACCATATCACTACTCAGTATTTAACTAATCTCTTAATCCAAAATTCCTATCATCATTTAATAATTATGCAAAATTCGTCTTTCAGATTGCTATTTTTTTAATTTTTTAATGCTGCAACTGTTCCAAAATAATCTTGTAGAAAAGGAAAAATGCAAATAAGAAGTGGAAGACCAATTTTACCCACAGTATTCAATTATTTGAATATAAAAAGAATAAGATAACGATTTAACAAATTAAAATAATCTTTCATGAACTCTTTCATGAATAACATATTAAACAAAAATGAAAGTTATAAATCAGTGGTAATGGCTTATTCTGGAATATATGACCTCTGTACATCATCAGTACCTGACTTGGTACAGTATAGTTACTACTTGGATACAGAGATAGATTTAATAATGTAACAATAAGAACAATATATATTATAATAATAAACTTCTCTGCACATATCAGACGCTTGTTACCATGAACTAACACTACTTGACAATGGGCTGAGCACTCAACACAGAGTATGTGTGCGATGCCATTCTTGTGCTGTGATTGGTTAGTTGAGTCACGTGAAGCCCTACTGTTCCGCCCTCGCGTATCGCGTAAATGCTGCACATTTCTTGCCATGCTGGATCCGATTGTTTTAGTTTCGTGTTAGTTATGAAATACAACCGGACTTTACATCAGCCATTTCATCAGCGTGGAACTAAGGGGTCATCTGTGTATCTAGATCTATGTGCTATTATTAATTTGATGTTGTAACTACCCCCCACCCCCACCCCACCCCATCTTGTCATTTTGTATCATATTACATTTTATTGGCCACAGTTACTCTTTGCCAGCCATTGTTTTGCTCTTTGCCAACTCTTTGCTCCATTGTATGGGATGAATGGTGATCATTTAATGTAATGTTGTTACAATTCCAATCTAACTAGATACTTATCTTCGTGTCGTATTAAATTTTGTCATTTAAATAGATTACAATATCAGTCATATGGCCTTATTTCATATTTAATTTTGAGGAGAAGCAGAGCTTCGTTGTGCTTGTGAACATTTCACTACACAAATTAATTTTAAGTGGCAATTAAGATGAGCCGACGCATGAAGAATAACAAATTATACAAACATTTGAAAAATTTTGTTCAACCTCACATAATCTTATTTGAAATCATTTTATTATTTGAAAGACTGTAGAAAGTTTTCCATTAAAAATAATTGAAATAATTATTTATAGAAGATGCAGGCATCGGCGATGATAGGTGTTTTGGCTTTCTGGCTGTTAACAATGACAGTTGCAGATCAGAGAGGGGAGGAGGAGTTCAACATTACACAACAGGCACAGGCAAGAAAAAAAGGGGACCACAGAACCATTCGAAAAAGGTTGCAAGAGGCTGGTGTATTAAGAGTGTCAGAAGAACAAGGCTTAGGCAAGTAGAACGGTTGATGAACTGCACAAAATGTGGAGTCTTTCACCCCATTTCCATAGATTTTTAGATCGATCTATCCCTGTGGGGAGTCTCACTAGATTACTGTCAGCTTGGCCGGCTTAAGTGTCTGTCCCGCCTACTAAAAGCTGTAAGGGGGTAATTAACTATGGTGCACGCTCGGCTGACTGCAATTTAGCGCAAACCCCCAGGGAGTTAGGTCGATCTAAATCTTAATCTTCAGATCGATCTAAATCTCTGGGAAAGCACCCTTTGATTTTGAAATGCGAGGCGTTATCCCACAACATAGTGGAAGATATTTATAATAAACTTTTCACGTTGCTCATGCTCTATTTGTTAAATAACACCGATTTTTCTGCAATGTACCCGTATGAAGGAAAGGCAACATATAGATTTGTTCATTTGATTGTCAATGTATTTAACACTTGACAATTAAAACGTTTCAGAATATAAAATACGTTTTACCAAATGTAGAGAAAATAAATTCACAGCAAGATAATTTGATTAATACACAACATGAAGACATCTTACATGACAAACATTATTTGATCAGTTATACCCTTTTACACTTTCTGCGTCCTTTCTGCGACCGTGAAATTTGGCATCACTGTGGTCTTAATAAGGAGGAACGAGTATTGATTTTGTATCAGAATGAATGCTCAAATGGGGCCGTACTGCTGGACGCAGAAAGGACGCAGTCTATTGTAAAGAGGGCTCAACCGTGCACTTTGAACTATAGAGCATTATAAGTGACCAAAAAGAGGCCTATATATCGTTGAGTGATTATAAAAATGCACCCAAACTAAAGCGCAAAGGAGTATTTTAACAATGGCTGATTCATTCTTATTCATATCTCCCACAGTGTCACTTGTTGAGTACATGAATGGTTCTGTGTCAGGGCATTACATTGCTCGACTTCTGCCCGGTGCAAACTACGGTCGAAGTAAGTAAACGTATCTAACTATATCCTTTGCCAATGAAATTGAATACTTTTGGCCCTACGTGTACCAGTCACTTTGTTCCTATAATTATATCTGAATGTATATTTAATTTTACTGGATCTCAGGGCAACGGGAGAGGACATTAAGGTCGTCTGGCATTTGTGGTTGTGGTGGTCAATTCAAACCAAACGCCGTTGACGCTGAGACGCTGCAAGCAAGCACCAGTGGAAAAAATAAAACAAGCTGAAGCTGAACCATGTTTGTTCTGAAACTTTTGCTTTTTGTGGCGTAAACAATGTTCAGTAAAAGTTTGTGATATATTTTTTTTTGGCTGATGGGAAGTACAACTCTTTCATTTCGAATCTTAGCAGGGGGCATTTTTCCAGCTCTCACACTGTGCTTTATGACCTCCTTATGACCAAGAAGGTTATGTTTTTTTTGCTTTTGTTAGTTTGGTAGTTTGTTCGCAACTTAACGCAAAAATGCATGGACGGATTTTGATGAGATAATCAGGATAGGTCAAAATGGGCTTACTTTAAAGTGACAAGATTTTGGTGATGGTCCATCCATTAACTAATGGTTGATTATTAGTTAATTATTAATCCTGGCGAAGTTCAGTGTTCTCTGGGTACATTTGTAGTATTTTCTAATATGGGCTTGGGTTCCGAACCATCTCTGCTTTATCTAGCCTTAAATGGATTTATTATGTAAACCATTTACAAGAGACAATTTTATTTATCTAGTACGTAGAATCATCAAAGGAGCTGGACGAAGACAACAAGTTAAGTTTAATAAAGACAAGGATTTCGTCATTCTGCGAAACATAAGTAAAAGGTTGAACACAGCGCATTCTTAACAGTTTGTTTTTCATTCGTTTCTACACATTTGTAAAATTTTGTTTTGTACATATATAAAATATTTTGCCATCGTCTTAACTATAAACTACTGATCAAATAACACTTTGGGCTAAAAAGCAAATAAAAAAAATGATAAGGAGAAAATATTTAAAATACGCATTGGTCATCAATTAATAAATTCATATTTGAAATATACCTTCTTGAAATCTATTACTGTATTTATGAGTATGTTTAATAATGTTTAAGCAACCTCCACGCCCTGCGACAACTCACCAATGTCATTGCGGAAATTGAACAGGATGTTAAGTTAAAACTAAACACTGAATACTGCAAATCCTATATGTCATGGTTTTCTGGAAGACATTATTGGGTATGTTAATGCTGATGTTAATGTAGAAAGATAGACCTTATAACTTAAAGGCTTTATATGTTTTAATTCCAATAACATTTTGGTATGTTGATTATACTGATTTCTAAAAGCAGTTCACTTTCGGTCACGAAGTCAACAAACTTTTCTAAATGTATGAATCTTTTTGACTATTGGTAACATACTTATAAGGTTAAAGTCCTATACTCTTTGTCATACATCTGAGCAATGTTTGAAGTTAAGGGTGCATTTAATTTGCTTTTCACGAGTGTAGTGTCTATCTCAAAACTGTCCAGCAACCAAACATATACTGACAGTCAGTGAAAACGCATCAGAAAACTTTCTTGTCCTTTTTTTACCGAGAATCGATTCCAACCATATAAACGAGAACCAATGCACTTGTTTGGTCATAAGAGCGTGGGCTGACCACTATTTCATATTTCACATATTTCACCCGAAAACTGTTATTTTCTTAATGTTCCAAAAGAACTTAATATATTATTTGATAGATAAATGATGCGTTTTCATTGACAGTCAGTATCTTTATATTGTCCTCTCTAAAATCTTGTGGTTTGGTTTAATGAAGCTGTTTTCCATCTATTTATTTTCAACACGGTGATCTTTTTGCATTTTCCATATATTTTCTGGCAAGACTGTACAAGAACTGTACATATCTGGAAAATTCCTTATGTAAGAATTTGTTGATTGCAGTCATTCCCTTACTTGCAGGGGTTGGATGCCCTTGATGGTGATCAATACAATTATGAATACAACATCTGGGGAGATGGAGAGGGAATAGATGTATATGTGGCAGACACAGGCATCAATCCAAACCATGAAGATTTCTCGGGGAGAGTTACCGTTGGTGAGTTACAGTCTGATTAGCTGCAGCGTTGCAGCAAAAGAACACCTGAGTAGCAAAAGGGGGCCAAAAAGGGAGCACGGCGGTCTTACGTTCAACGACAGCTAATGCAAGCATTACTAGGATTTAAAAAGAAAACGGCATCCTCAGAGAGTGAATATATCTCCCCATTGTGAAGATTGGGAAATCAGGATTCTCTTAATGTTGCATTGAAATGGGGATGTTGTACATGTCTCTTCGGCAATATGATAGCTCCTCATAAAATATAGTTAAAATACAACTGCTATTATACATCTCAAATGTGCGTTTTTATAGT